CCTTTTGCCTAAGCATGAGAAATCTGTGATATATAATGCAATCCATCAAGTTTGTTCGAAACTTTCCCATTCAACCCTAAATATTTGGTTATTTGCTGAACAAATTTCGCAAGCGTATCTTATATTTTCCACTCTTCGGCTTTATTGACAAAAAGCCATTCAGTCAACAGGATCAATCTTTCTCGCGCACTTCGGCAAAAGTCATGCCAAAAACGTGAGAAATCTGGGCCGCAGGAAAAAGGGGGCGCAAGATTAGAGCCAATGCAATGGACTCACATATGTGGAGAATTACTCCGCAGTGTGTTATCGAAAAATATAGTTAATGTGCTGCAATGTGCAGAGCATCGAGTCAGTCGATGGGATCCACACATAGCATTATATGTGGAGTGCAATACAAAGTGAATAAGATAACAATGATGGATGAGAAGGGATTGAATTGGGGCCAGCAGCGGTGCTCGATTCGATGGAAATCAATCAGTTGTGTGTCGTGTTTAATTTCAGGAATTTCGAGATTAATGGCCAAAACTGGGAGAACTCTGGGCTTGGATTGATGGTGTCAGGTAGACTGTGTGCACACGTACGTATCTCCATCGCAAGCATACATCACTTGGTCATACCTCCACATCCACTCAAGACTAATTTGCAGACTTGCTATATTCCCCATCCACAGTGTTTGGGGGGAAAGTGCGCGGGGTGAAAAATCGCACCGAAAACGACCACTATATTGCCATTTCATTGGGGCGGCTTCAAAAGCTGGGCGATTGTGCGCGATAAGCTTGATGAAAGTGCATTTTTCCCTTCACAAATCGCATTTCCACGGCGGTGATCAAACTCTGATGGGGCAAAAGTTGCACGAGGCGCAATTAGGTGCCAAGGATACTCCAATATTATCCTGCCATGGCTGGTGTTCTCCATTTTATGGCGATTATATGGGTGTTGTTAAAATAGTGTGAAACTCTCTCTCTCTCTCTCTCTGTCATAACTACTTCATAAATTCTAACTAGTTATTTGTTATAATGAAACTAACAATGTTTCCCAGCCATAACACTCCCGCGCGCGATGGTGAGAGAGTGCAGAAAAAGCATAAACCATCATCACAACATCACCAATTCAGCAAAGGGCAATTCACAAGCTCAACAATCAGTGGAGGTGCATAATCTCTCTCCCAATGCTTCAATCCCAACATGGAAGTTTGAAGTGTGTAATTTCGCACATTAGTCAACATTCACAGAATCCCTCTCTCTCTCTCTCTCTATATATATATATATATATATTACCAGTGAACTGGGGAGACTGGGAAAGGTGAAGATTGGCACATAAGTGTCCGTACCTGAACATTAAACAGCGCTCTGAGTAATATGAATTGGCTCATTTATTTGACAGTTTTAATTACCAACTCTGACAAATCGATCGGGAAATTGGATTATGGGCGACTGAATGTGCTGAGGCCATGATAAAATCCCACCCAATAATGCATCACCATCGAGTGCACGTCACAAAGTGGACGAGATATTGCCATGTTGAGTGTGCGATTCCACAGGAATGCAAATATGAACACTCAAATTCTATTAATGGACAATCTTAAAATCAACATTCCCACTCAGAGAGCTCAATTACATTCAGTGGCAATGCTGACAGGGCATCAGAGCTTGTCTGAAAGATTCATGCGTCTGCCATTTCACCCCTTCAATCTATATAGTCAGGCCATGGCATAATATAAGTTTCAATGCATGAGAATTGAAGCGCATGCGAAGATTTTGCATAAATCTATTAAGTCTGCAATGTTAAAGTCAATAAAATGGAACAAAAGGATTAAATTGTGAAGATTATTCAACATTACTCAATTTTTATTTATTTTTAGCAACATTTGCACTCTTTATTAAACAGATGAACTGAAATTAAATGATTTGAACATACCAAATTTGCCTGAACACATCAAAAACTTGAAATTTGTAGACTGTTTCCACATAAATTTCCCTAATTATTGAGTTTTTTCTTATATTTCTATTCGATATTCAGCAAAAATCTCGCTGAGTTTTACACCACTTCTGACTATTTTATCTCCCCCTTTAAACATACTTACATAGGTAATTCTCTAAAAAAAAGCTCACTTTATAGTCAATTGAATATTTGCATAGTAAAGAGAATGTGAAGATTTTAATTAAATTGAGAATTCATGGGTGAAAAAAATCTCTCTCATCACATTAATTTGATGCCTGATATTGAAACTCACTTACATGTTGAGAGATGAAGTGGTTTACAAAAGACATAATTGAATGATAAATGCTTGAACTAGTTTGCAAACTCTCCTTTCATGACAGCAAAATTATCTTTGCCCTATAATTGATTTGATTTGCCGGCACAATTCAATTAAAATAAGACTCCTTTCATTTCCTTAAGGTGTGCATCAATATCATGTCAATATATATATAGTTGGTGCATTGAAGTCATTAACTAATTACATGTACATTGCTAATCCTCTATATATTCCACTCTTATTTGCATAATACACGAAGAGGGAGAGTAAGGATAAAAGTCCTTCTTTTATGGCAAATGGAGAGAAAAAAACTACACTCTTGTGCCAAATTCTCTTCACTCCATACATATTAAGTTTTTGGGAGAAAAGTGGGAAATTGAATTAGATGGAGAGTATCTGTGAAAGCTTTCACGGCGAGATTGTGTTCCTTTTTCGAGGAGAAGAGGTCCTCCTTTGCCTCGTGGCGGCAATAACTTGCCATCGTTGCTCTTCCATGGTGCAGGAAATTGTGTAATTTTACTATTTTTAGAAAAATACCGAAATGGAAGTGAATTTTTGTGTTCTAAAAATCCACCCCCTCCCTTCCACCCTGTGCACACGAGCACGAGCATAAATTTGTCCTGTGCTGGCCTTATTCTTTGGCGCACCCGCGCGCAAGAAAGGAGCGAATGCATTATCCTTGGGGAGAAGTGGGCAATAAATGCTGGGTGACGGCATAAAATCCATATTACGTGATTGTGTATCGGAAGAGTGTTTCGCATCCTCACAAAAACCCGCCACCGCATGTAATTTGGTGGAGCGCTAAAGCTGGGGTCGCTTTACAATGATCGTAAAGTGATGGAAAATCGTGTTAAGTGGTCACACACACATATGGCAGAGCAATCAAGTGGCGAAGGACCCTTTCTTCCCATCTCCGCCGCCGCCGCCGCCGCCACGTGAGTGTTTTTCACTCTTTTATTCATTTCACCTGGGGGAGGAATCACAGCGCAAGAGGGTGAGTTGCCACCTGTTGCCGCTTCGGGGGTGGATTTTTGTGACCGCGTGGTGTCATTTTGAGAAATAACGGATCAACAGCACTCATGCATTCATAAAATTGGTATTCAATCAAGCATTTGTGTATTTATTGAAATCGCGTTGCGTTGCGCGCCGAGCGTAAATATCAAAATCCCCACCCTTATTTCCCCATATATAAATACACATATATATTCTCTCAAACAATAAAACAGAAAATTAGTGTTTGGCCTGGAAACCATTGCCTCAATTTGCCTGTCGACTCGTCGTACTCGAATTTTCAGTCTCTGCGCCACAATCATTCGTGTTTAAACTACCCTCGGGCTGACAACGCGTATGAAATGCATAGTCAGTTTGGCAAGAATTTCTATTTGCACTCATTCTGTGTTTGGGGATTGATGTGCACTTGCGATGGCACTTAGCTAAATTAATAGCACTCCAAATAAACACTTTTTTTTCCTCCCTGATCTAAATACATAATGAAACATTTAGGGAGTTCATGTGAGGAAGAAATACATGCAAATATCGAGGGGTTGGTAATATGCATTTTAAAAATAAGTTTAAAATATGCTCAAAATGACAGAGTCGAGAATTCTGTATTCTGAATTTTAGGTGACAAATTGTCTCTGCGGGGCAAATTTTAGATCTGAAGATCGTAAAGCCTTGTGTAAAACCGTAAATATTCGATTAAAGATCAAGTATTTAAGCAAGATTGTCTATTCTTTGTGTGTTTGCAAGCTTTTCAGCTAAGAAATTCGCTTTTTACTCTCTAAAAATTGTGCACAATTATTTTATAAATAAATTTTGAAGAGATAACAAGATAAAATATCAATTTCGACGAAAGAAATGTGTTTTTTTGGCATTTAAATTTGCATCTCGAGCCAAGAAAGTGACACTTCATCCCCAATATTAGCAACCCCTTGTGTAAGTATGCAAATATTGCAACTCTTTGCATAAAAAGGTACTTCGAAAATAGCCATAATTTAGCCGTGAATATTCAAGTTAATTGATTCTCTCAACTCCTGGGAGAGAGAGAAAAAAAGAATCTCTAAAGCTGCGATGAAATAATCAAGAGGAGAAAGAATGGAAAGCAATTAGTGTGGAAAGTTCTCGAATGCATTTTAAATCACAGCCAAGGGTGAAGAAATGTTTATGAAGCAAAGGCAAGATGGGGTAAAATTAAGGACAGTGCTTAAGACAAATGGGACTCAATTGTTTGAAAAATTTCAATGTTGATGACAATTTGTTGGATGCATGCACGGATGTTAAGGAGTGGAAAAGAGTTAAATCGATGTTCCTTCCCATTTAACGAGTCTCTCATGTGCCAGAAGACTATACACAGGACATGGCAATTTTCTCCAGTTACTTTGTAAATAGCCTCATTTTCCTCCTAATGCGCCCCCTCGTCTCATGTTGCCGCCGCACATGCAGTGAGTTTGTGTGGGTCCGCCGATACACGCCCGCCTTCGTGGTATTTTTATTATAATGCCACGAGACTGTATTACGAAACGTGTAAGGTATAATATGTTATAAGAAACATGCAATATCACTAAACCTGCGGCCTCGTAATTAAATACAATAAATGGGTTGTTATGTGGTCTGAATGCCTCATATGTATGTACATAGGTGGCCGTGTGCGGCAATTCGTGAGGGGGTTTGAGGGCGGCGGTGTGTGTGTGGTGAGACAAATTCCTCGGATTGCAGCATATATATAAAGTGACACAACACTTGCCTGAAATACATTAATGAGACCAGGGTGTGCAGCAGTAAGTTCACCAAATGATAGCCAGCCGGTTCGAGGCCGTGAAATGAATAATTCCATCGAAAAGTCAAGACACACAGTGGTCGATACGATTTATGGCTCTGCTCCTGGAAGAGAGAAGAACAAGAAAAGCAATGCTTAGTGAACAGGAAACATTTGATGCGCTGTTTGTTTGTTTTTTTGGAGGGTATAAGAACAATATAGATAGTTGCAAGGGGGAGATATTATGTATTGAATCTTCCACAGTTTCTGTGCAGAATCTTCAGCACTTCAGACACTTCGGAACACCTGAAAAAGATTTTCCCATCGCTTTTACGACTCCATCAACAATTTAATCCAGGTTTTTCCGTGTCAAGAGGTTTAAGCTCTTGAAATGCTTTAATTTCAGAGCGTAAAATATGATTTTTTGCGGTTTTTGAAACCGCTAAAACATCTAAAAAAAGGAGAATTCTTTAAGATATTTTTGAGGATATGGTTGTTTTTAAGCTGTTTTCCTCAAATAAAAGGACTTTGAGGGTTATTAAAGCAACAAACTCTGTTTTAAATCAATCACATAACCTAGAAAAAGGCGATTAAATTGATTTTTCTAGGCAAAATAATTAAGAAAATGCTTCAATTAGTTGAAAAGGAAGCTTTTGCAATGCCAAAAACTTCCTTTTAAGCTGTACACTACGTCGGATCATAATATCTGCCCCTTGGGAAGTCCATGACATAATATAATCTCTCCATCGAACCCAGTTAATTATATTGCTAGCTCGAATTTATGCAAATTTGCCTCTGCATATTGGGAGTCATCCAAGTCCAAAGCATTCGAAATGGGGTTTTTTTGGCCAGTTTTGAGATATTGCGCACATCCTTGAAATTGTGTGAGGAGAAATTGCAAATTTCATCTTGGCAAATTCAATTCAGAAGTTAAATTTGTGCCACAGCGAAATTGATTTTGCCTCTCTGCGTTCTGTGCATTCCTTCTCTTCATCTGCAAAGTGATTTAAACCAACAACATTTAGCACTCCGAAAGAAGAACTAGCTTTTTCCCTCCCTAATAATTTTGCCATATGTGGAAGCCTTCTTATATGACACAATGCAGATACTTGTAATCGAATCTAGTCCAATCTTTCTTAGCCTCTTCTCAGGCATGCTTATCGATTGTTCAGCTTATATTTGCTCGAATTTATATCCATCAAAACTTAAGTCAAAATAGATGTGTAAAGTTGTGCGGACGCAAAATGGGAATGCTGGCAAAGTTGAGGATATATGCTGGGAATGTATATATCCATTGATATATTTTATCCCCTGCGCTGCTTTATTCCATTCGAGTGTGTGTGTGTGTGTGTGTGTGTGTGTCGAGGGCAAAAAGAGGAGAATTTATTGTAAGATTTCGATTTTGTACGCGAAATGAATTTCAAAAGATTCCGATGGGAAGCAAGAGGAAAAATCGGGTCTCGGCTGGTGAGTTGTAATGTGTGTGGATCAGTTGGGGCGCATTTTTTCACCACTCTCGCTCTCCCTCTCTCGCTCTCTCTCGCCCTCGGCGGGTCCCTTTGGCATGGTCGTGCCATTTGTGCGGGGTGTGTGTGGAGGGCAAAAAAAAAGTTAGAGAGTAAATTGTTGGGTTACGCGTAGATTGAGAAGGGTTCCACTTCTTTTTCTGCCACTCCGCACAGCGCCAAACTAATGCCGGGGCGGAAAGTTTCCGTGGGTGAGTAATTCGTTGACGACGATGAAGTAGCAATCGTTGCAATGGTCGAGGGCGCGAAAATGGGGGTCGTTGGAAAAAGAGGGTGGATTACGGCGAAGGCTCTCGCCCTCTGGGGCCCCATTGTTGAGTGCTACGTGCCGTGTAGTCAGCCGCCACCATTTATAAATGTACAAATAATGAAGAGTTATGTGGACAAGTCGCGTAGATATTGGAGCATTATCAGCTATTCTTCAATAAACCTATTCTTTTTCTCACGCCTTTGTTATTCACCCCTTTCTTCAAGCCACCATCTCGCCTACGTGCCGCCCGGATGCGGGGGTGGAATTGTTGCTGTGACAACTCTCTATGCCGGGAGCTTTCCGTCACCTCTCGAGAGGTGATGGTGTAGAAATAATCTTAAGAATTTCCCCAGATGGCAAATCAAAGATGATTTCTCCCGCAAATTTTACACAATAAACCACTCCACAGCTCTCTGTGTGTTTGTGCTGCAGAAAAAGGGGGTGGAAAAGCTCCGGCTCACATGGATTTTCCTGTCCAACTGTGCGCGAGATGATAGAGATTTATATTTTTCATAAAAATATATATTTTTTTGCTTCAAAAAAAAAAAGCCTTTCTCTCTCTCTTTTCTGCACTCTTTTTCGTTGGCTTCGTGGGCGAGAATTTTTGGGTTCAGAAGTTTTACAAGTCATACAATATACTGGGCAAAACCACCCATTGTTTTTCCAGGATGTGCGAAGCTCCATAACACAAACTTAAATTAAATTCATGCTTTTGAGAGAATGCCTTTAGCCGCACGTGAATTTTTAGGGATGAAAATTGAAATGTTTGAAAGAGATGAGAAGTAAAAATTGTTAAGGATTCTTCTTGCACACAATTTTCATCATACTTTGTTGTCCTGTGGCTTGAATAAATGACAGGATTTCACCATCGGAGAGTCCTTTCGGTATTTTATGGTACAAATACAAACAGGCAAAATGGAGACGCTCGATGGCATGCATATAGTGTACCTTAGCATGGCAGTGCACAAAGTGAGATCTGTTTAATATCCGGTCCTGGAGACTTCAGCTCTCCAGCAGGAAATTTTCCCACCATTCCGTCAAAATGCACCTCCCTCTGGCGCGCCTCCCCCAAAGCACGGTATATTCGGGGTGTATTCCAGTGGAAAACAGCGCAGCACATTATTTTTCTAACTATGCGAAAATGTGTGAATTTGCGAGTGTGTATACGAAGTGATGAAAAAGCTTTTCCATCAACAACCCACCCACAAAATCGCCCACCTCTCACGTCATAACAACACCCATTAAGGCATTGGTGCTGCCACATCAGCATCACAGAAGGTGCCTCCAACATAATAAATGTACATGTGTACGGCATAATACAATGCATATACACATTTTGAGTACACTAAAAGGTCCATAATTGTTTTCCACGCTGTTTTTACTCTTTTTCCTCCACGGCGTAAACATAATATTCACCATGGTGGAAACTTGCAAAGGCACTATAAGACGAGAGCACATGAAGTCCGGGGGTTGCTTACTCGGCACAATTTTCCTTTTGCGCCCCTCACATTTCCACCACCGCAGCCAAATTACGCTGCTCAGCGCGCCTATGAGCAATTTCTCGCTTCAACTTGTCGTCGAAAAGTGCTGCGAAAGAAGGCAATTTATAGACGCGGAATAGCCGGAAAACTATGCATTTTCAGGTAAACAGACAAGACTTCTTTCGGCCGAATAGAGTCAATATAAGGGGAAAGTCACTCGCTATTTGAGACACTTTGTGATAATTCAATCATTTTTTATTGTTTCGGAAAGTTAAGCCGGAATTACAATCTGAACTTCTTCATGTCTTTCAAGCTTGATCAGCTGATCAGATTATGTAAAAACCGAGTTTCTTACAGGCGAAAAGCTTTATTTTCACCTTTAAATTTCCTTCATAAGTAATAAAGTGTGAAAACTCGAGAGAAAAGAGAGAAAATTAAGCAAAATACGCGATATTATTAGCGTCCCTCACGCCGTCTTTGCTTCCCTCTGGCGGCAAAATGTATAGAAAAGAATCAAATATTTAAATTTTAATGAAATATCCAGAAAATAATTGAATATTTTGCCCAAAAACATTTAAATTTTGATTGTTACGCAATTTTACATGGAAAATAATCATTTTTTGATTTTTTTTAATTAAAATTTTGATATTTTCCATATAAAGCAATAACCAAGTAGTTAAATATTTTTATTCAAACCATTGAGATTACTCAAAAACCGTCTTGTTATCTGCCCCTTGAATTAGTGGAATTATTGATCAACACCCTCGTGAGCATGCAATTAACCCCCTGAAGAAGCAACTCTGGCGTAAAATATGCGAGCCATTTCTCAACATCATTATTTTATTGCACATGAAAATGATGGCAACAACATAAATATGTATGGTATTTAAGAAAATACTCAGCAGTGGAGTCGCTGTTCAAGCACAAATCCACCCTCAATCCGAGCGCGCGCGCGCGCTTTCATTAATATTCAGCGGGAAAAGTGTACATTTTGTGATCAATTGTGAATGAAGCAATATCGGAAATTAATTGGGATGAAAGCTTTTCCTGTCTAAAATTCCAAACATCACACACACGTGTCGCGTCACGAGAAAGAAAGGCTTTTTCGCGCTTTCACAAGTCCCAATAGACGCAATGTTGAAAAATGTATCATGAGCATCTTATGCTTCTCTTTTTTCCCTTGTAATCCAACACCGAGAGAGCTTCTCTCATTCCCCATAAAAAGCCCACAGACAAAAGCTTTCACTGTGGGACTCTTTCTTCCACCCCCTCCCCCGCCCTTCTGCCATAGATGTAACAGTTTGGAAATCGATATATCCCCCTAATTGTGTTATGAGATTATCGAATTTCGGGCCGATATCTAATTAAATGAAATATTTAACGAAGAATAATGAATGAGGAGGAACTTTTTGCCCATCTAATGCTCTGCTCAATGTTGGTATCAACGAAAACTGAAAAGTTTTCCCTGTTTTCATTTGCTGGGGAGACGAAAAAGGTGAGGAAATCCCAAGGGGGTTGAAGTGAAGGGGGCAAAAAGCCAGTGAGAGTAAATGAGCCAGGAAATTCATTCTCGAAGAGAGAGATTCCTGCTTCTCATTTAACAGTCCCTCTCACTCCACATCCCTCATCATTCTTCCATGCCGCCCCTTCTCAGCATTTTCCACCCCCGCTGTCCTTCTCTCTGATGCTTTTCAATACAATTTAACACAATACACACTAGATAAACTGAGAGTTAATTGAACACTGGCACAGCGCCTTGCACTGCTGGGGCGACTACAAATGGTGGTCAGTGCAGACCGCAAATGAAGTTAAATTTATATAGGGTTGTGCAGAGAATGAAAAGGATTTTCTTACACTCATTTTCTATA